CAAATAGTGTCCTCCATTACGGCGTCTCTTAGGTCGGTTGCTGGTCTCATTCTCAGATGAAATGTGATTTTGTATTTTGTGAATTTTCTGGTATAAATGATTTATGTGATGTGTCATGACATCAAAATGTATACGTATTGAATGTTTGCTCGTCCATACTTTAAATAATTCATTTTATATCCTTTCTTATATCATTTTATATCCCAGACGAACCTGCAATTGATCATCAATAATCATAATCAACTAATAATACTCAGATTCGATGTCACCCTGAACGTTGACTTGACGGAGTTCCAGACGAACCTGGTAATTAATCAACAATAATTGAAAATCAACTAATAATTCTCAGGTTCGATGGCGTCCTGAACGTTGACCTGACGGAGTTTCAGAAGAACGTGCGATTGATTATCAATAATTGATAATTACCAAATAATTCTCAGGTTCGATGGCGCTCTGAATGTTGTTTCAGAAGAACGTGTGATTAATTATCAATAACTGATAATTAATTATTAATTGATTATTTATCAATAATTTATAATTAACTAATAATTCTCAGGTTCGATGGCGCCCTGAACGTTGACCTGACGGAGTTTCAGAAGAACGTGCGATTAATTATCAATAATTGATAATTAATTATTAATTGATTATTTATAACTAATTGATTAATTATCAATAATTGATCATTAACTTATAATTCTCAGGTTCGATGGCGCCCTGAACGTTGACCTGACGGAGTTTCAGAAGAACCTGGTGATTAATTATCAATAATTAATAATTAATTATTAATTGATTATTTATCAATAATTGATTATTTATCAATAATTGATTAATTATCAAGAATTGCTAATTAACTTAAAATTCTCAGGTTCGATGGCGCCCTGAACGTTGACCTGACGGAGTTCCAGACGAACCTGGTCCCGTATCCCCGCATCCACTTCCCCTTGGTGACCTATGCTCCGGTCATCTCCAGGGAGAAAGCTTACCATGAACAAATGTCCGTGGCTGAGATCACAACAGCCTCGTTCCAACCTGAGAATCAGGTTAGCAGAGCAAAAAAATTATTTAAAAAGTGTTGCAATCGAAGAGGAAAAAAGTTACACATAAACACACGATTGAAAATAGCGGCAATGAGTTTGAATGGGAGAACACGTGATCTGTACTTCGAACAGTAATAAACTGCAGATGTTCACACTTTAAAAAATTGTCTAAGATCATAGATACATAATTAATGCATTTTTAACTTTAAGTTAAGTTCTCGATGACATGAACTTGGATTCAGGCTTCTAAAGTTCAGTTCCTTTTATTGTGCGATGAAAAACATTTCCTAGAGACTAAAACACGCCATTGCACACTGCACAATAGCATGACAAAAGCCCATATAACATAAATTAATTTCTTGTTGCTTCATTGTTCGATGCATCATTCTTCCATATCTTTTTAGCGTATTTTCTTATTTATTAAAAAATGCACTATTGTGCTCGCCATGTCCGTCTGTCCGTCCGTCTGTCTGTCCGTCCGTGACTTAATGTTTTCGTCGACGAGAAAATGCGCTCTCTATCACTCACTGCAGTGAGTAATGAGTTATATTTTTTCAATGCTAATTCTTTGATTTTTTGTTGAATGATCCAATTATTGATTTTATTTCAGTTAGTGAAATGCGATCCCCGCAACGGAAAGTACATGGCATGTTGCCTGTTGTACCGCGGAGATGTCGTTCCCAAGCAAGTGCAGTCTGCCATCGCTACAATCAAAACAAAACGCAACATACAGTTTGTGGACTGGTGCCCTACTGGCTTCAAGGTGACAGAACGAAGTTGTTGTTGATGCTTTCGTAAAATTATTGTTGTTGCAGCACTAGCAATACATATAGCCATCAATATATACACGCTTAGTATAGTAGTACAGTATAGTATAGTAACTTCGGCATTGAAGAATAGGCCTGGATAGGCCTGTCGCCGAGTCTTGTATTTTTCTTGACTAGACTGGCCTTTTGTTCAAATCTTTGTTGTAGCAATCGTTTTGCCTAGTAGAGAGGCAATACCAAACCTGTAAATCACATCCATTTTGTGAATCATCATATTTTTCAACACATTGCATGTGAACGATCATATTACATGGCTTTCGTGCACTCATTTTCACTTATCTATTTAAATAACTGCCATATTATTGATAATTATTATGCAACATGAAACTATGATATTATCTTTGATCCTATAGATCGGTATCAACTACCAGCCGCCCACTGTAGTGCCGGAAGGCGACCTAGCGAAGGTGTCTCGGGCAGTGTGCATGTTGAGCAACACCACCGCGATCGCTGAGGCTTGGTCGAGACTTGACCGCAAGTTCGATCTCATGTATCAGAAACGAGCGTTCGTTCACTGGTAAGCTGGTCTTGAATTACACCCACGATTCTTTATTGGTACTGAATAATTACCATCGCCATTGCTGAGGCTTGGTCGAGACTTGACCGCAAATTCGATCTCATGTATCAGAAACGAGCTTTCGTTCACTGGTACGTTTGTCTATATTACTAAATGTATTCCCAGACTATTTACATCAACTGATGGGATAGAAAATACCACCGCTACATCGACAGTCTATTTAAATTGAATCATGTCTGAGAAGGCATGGTTGTCGAAATCATGATTTGATCGTGGCCCAAATGCACGTCTTCAGTCTTTTTGCTGATCAAAATATACTGTATCTTAAATTCAATCTTGATTTCAACTACAGTATCTAACTTTTTTGCGGTTAAAAGGTTCCTGGCTTAACGAAAAGGCGAATATTATTAATAAATAAATGAAATGATTTCACACTCTCATGTTCAGGTTTGTGGGCGAGGGCATGGAAGAAGGAGAGTTCCTGGAGGCCAGGGAAGACATGGCAGCGCTCGAGAAAGACTACGAAGAAGTGGGAACAGATTCCGTAGAAGGGGAGGCTGACGACAGTGGCAGCGAGTACTGAAGAATAGATGGAACAAGATAGTCGAAAATTTAATTATTTGTCTCCTGACACTAACTCTTCCTTCATATGGTCTCTAGATACGAATAACATTGCTGCTGAATTCATCATTTTACATAGGGCTAAAGAAAATATGAGTTCAGCTAGAAGAAATAGGCCAATTACAAACACAGAAGCAGGCTAACAAACTTATCTTGATTATCCTATATATGCGAATTCAAGAGACTTAACGATATTATTACACCTATTAGCTGTTTCAAAAAAATATTTTTCACAATTTTTTCCAGAAAATCCGCAACTAAAAAAAATGCTTCCCCGCTCAAGAAATGTTTGCGGTTCTTCGTGAACACAGCACTATTCATAATCAACATGTACTGTATCTCAGCGTAATGTGAATAAAAAGGTTTGCATTTCTTTGATTACAAATAGGTACGAGTTAACTCGAATATTTTTTAATGCTCATACCCGGTATTAATGTTTGTTAAAAAAATACGAGGTTAAATTTTGTGTCTTTCGAAATGCGAATTGAAAATAAGGGGTCATGCTTGTTGAAAGATAGTTTCAAATATAAAACAAAGACGAAACATTTTTTTATGATGTTAAAAAAAAATCAAATCTCAACTCTTTCAAAAAATCACTACTCTTAACTCCGAAAGATTGATAATAAAATTATATGGTAATTCGATTGATTTCTTTTTATCAATAACAAATGAATGCAAAGTCTAAGCGCAGATGAAATTAGCCTCTCATAAATAGAAATACATTCATCAAATATGAAGTAATGGGTTCAATTATTTACTTACACTCATCGCCACATAGCTGATGGATAATTGGCAATCGTTGCAAATTTATGTGGCGCTAACACATGAATGAAAAACTTTTTGTTTTCATCTGAACTTGGATTCCTGATTTGAGAAATTAATTAATAATTCGTTAATTATTCGTTGCAGTTAATTAATAATTCGCTTCTATATTATTTTTCACTGTCTGACTAGGTTAAATTAATTAGGAATTAAGCGTGCCGTGGTTACAAAAAGTATGTGATCTAGACTTCACTTATTTGAAAACCAGTCGGTTCTGATTTTGAGACAACGCGAATAACGGTCCGAGAGTTCAACACGTCTCGGACAAATTTACGGCCGGACCCGCGGCCGGTTTTATTAAGTCAATATCGGCATCGAATTGACATAGTTGCGCGTGCATTGGTTGCCTCATGCACACGTTCTGTTTAGCTGTATTTCTCGCTTCGAATCACCGACATGTGGAACAGCCTCCCCGATGACATCGTTGGAGCTCCAAGTATGAACGCGTTCAAGAACAGACTAGATAAAGCTATGGAAAAGTATATGTTCAGATTTGAAATGCCTAACTCCTTATCGAACCCGGTGGAAGTCTAGTAGCTACTTCAAACTATCGCCAGTCATGAAAAGATCCGATCAAATGATACGAGTTTAGATTTATGAACAAGGCACGAAAAGGAAAAGAATCGGCGACAGGCCACATCAGGCCTACATTTCAGCGCCGACATCATTATGTTATGTTATGTTATGTACTAAGCGCCGCAATCGCCATGAGATAGCGTTCGCATCGGACATTTCTCCGGTCGGTTAAAGTGACCCAGAAACATCTCTCAAACTACTGATCACATCTAAATTAAATTTTGCACGGAACCTCAAAATAAAATCCTACTCATATTTAATTCGTGGATTTTTTATTACAAATTATTCATTTCCTTCATGGATCATTTACGCTCGTGAAAATTTAGTTCAGTATACATTCATAAATAGTTTTCTATCATGCAGTGAAAAACGACATTGAAACGACTGAGTACAAAGTCATGTATAAATAATAGAATGAATGCGACAAATTTTTGTTTCCAACCTAAAATTTTCATAAAAGAAAGATTATTGCATGCATGAAAATGAGGGATCTGATAATAGGTTGAAGAATATTATTGATTCGTTTGAACAGTTGGTATTCTTGAGTGTACCGGGTTAATTCACGCTTCTTCGATTCACACCGGTCCACTCAAGTTTCAACTCCTGGCGTGTGTGGTTGCGTCGTGTGCCAGAGCTGGTTTTTTGTTTTGTTTGCATTCCATGTGCCAAGTTTATTACAAATATTAGTTTGAAACCTTTATTAGATACGATCAGCGTGATGATCCTGGAGAGCTCTGCACCGTGGTCGTCGGAAAAGGAGATGGTGTTTTCTAAGCAGTTTCCGTTACACCATGCCTGTCGGGATAGCAACACTGAAACTCTGAAGCGGTTGCTTATACAGCTGCAGCATAACATAAGCAACTGCAATTTAGTCCTGTCAGAAGATTCGGAGTATGGCTGGACTGCTGCTCATTTTGCTGCATATTTCGGAAGTGTAAGTTTATGCTTAACTTCGAACTTTTGAAGCCTGGCTGCTGAGCAGTGTATTTGTATATCATATCATTATCATATCATTCATATGCGTCGGTAAACTAGATTTTTAGAACTAAGAATGTTTGCGAGTTTGGCATAACCTACCTTAGCTTTTTACTATATTCCGAGTGTATTTCAATAGCACAACATTAGCACAGGTCTTCGTATACTAACTTTAGTTCAGCATCAAAACTTTTTGCACTATAAAAAGCCTCATTGGGTTAGTATTTACTGAAAATGAGAGGTATTGCTTACGCAGGAATGTTTCGATAGCCTCCAGTTTTCCCAGAGCACATGGTGACATGGACGATGGAGCTCCTTGACTTGATCGTAAAAATGCTACTTGGTTGATTAGAATTAAGCTGCCAGATGCCTGTAGGCTATAGCCTAAGGTTGTTTCGTGCTAGTCTTTAGTCGCCCCCACGTGGATTGAGTTGTAACGCTAAGTCGCTAACTATAGCCTGCAGCGCTGCTTAAGATGTACTTGTTCGTTCACAAAGCAAAGTAATTAATGTTCACAGGAGTACGATGCATCTTCATAGTTTTGCATGTCCATTAAATCTTTGTTTACTCGTAGGTCGTAGCTACGACTTTTTTCTCACGAAGTCACGATTGCTCTTTTGTTCATATACGCATGAAAATTATTTAGACGAAGTTTAACGAAGTTGAACGAAAGAAATGCTGCGCATTTTTTTTTCGTGACAGTCGTTTTTCTCGCTTTTCTGTTTACTATGATGCTGCATTCATGCATTAAAACAAATTTACTTTGGCTATTTCGGCATCGGCAGTGTGTACAATCGTCGGGAAACCTTGGGGTCATATTTTTATTGAACTAATCAATTGCAGACCGCGCTTAAATGTTAATTCGAATAGAATCAATAGTGGTCTTAGCGTTGATCTGAGCATATAAACTTGTGATATATAACGCTAGGTATAATCGTTGATACTTTTAATCTAAATGTTCACCTTTTTTGTAATCGTCTCCAAAACCAGACACCGTAGAATTATCACAGCTGGTTGAGGCCCTGAACTCGCAACTCACTTCCAATTCTTGGAAACCTTAACTCTGGATAATAACCACTCTGTAACACTGCCGTTTTATGTAATACCTGTTACCGAGCACGCTTATTACGGGGTTGCCCGCTTTGTTTGCTTGCATGTACCGCCTCGGTGAGGAGGCTTCAGTGCTATGCGGTCAGTGAACCTTTATTCGCTCGGCAGACTTTACTTTCACCTTTCCCTCTCGCATACGCGATGCGTGAGCAGATAATGACGTAATGTCCCGTGTAGTGCGTTATTTAACCTGAAAACTTGCGATTGGTTAGTTCGAGTTATGAACGTTGTGAATTATTTTCAAATTTTTGAATGTTTTTATGTAGATCAGGAGTTTTTGAACATTTGGACCGTGGAGTGAATCTGCATAAAGACTGAAATTAAATGCAATGCATTTCACGGCTGGTGATTCACGTTCCATTGGTTAGGTAAGTTATTCTTATTGATAATGCAATAGTGCACAGTCGTACATAACGTGGCCTAACACGTGGCTTAAACAATTCATTTGTCGGTGAACGAAAACGAAAATTTTTGCCGTTCCAATAGTTATCCAGTCCGCTGGAAAATCCGCACATAACGTGGCCTAACACTTGGTTTAAACAATTCGTTTGCAGGTGAACGAAAATCTATGCCGTTCCAATAGTTATCTACTCCGTTGGAAAATCTGCCTGTTGATCTAAGAGTCTAAGGTCTTTCTCGCTGAGCATGTATATAATTTCTCTTGATAATGATTATACGCTATTTTTCTTAAATGAAGTACGAGATGTTGCTGATACGTAAATTTTATGGCTATTGGATGGCAGAATCGACTTCAACTCTGCATCACGTGCTCCATCTCTTATCAGCGTCTCTTAAGTGTTTATGATGATAAGCAATAACACTAGGTATTGATCAAGCTTCTTTTGAGAAACCGACGTGTGTGAATTTATGTACTCGTTCACTATAGAGATAATTGAACTAAAATGAAGTGTATGAATGAACGTTATTTTTTATTTTAAAATTATTGTATTTTGAAGTCCTCCAAGCGCACTCTATTTTTCTCCGAATGGACAATCGGTTCTAATTTCTGAACTATTTCCAATTTGGTAAATTGGATGCATCTTGACTTGCCCGAGTTTCGTACTTTGATTTCTTGTTCTCTTTACACCTGAGAAATTAACGAGATTTTTTCAAATATCGATTTACTTTTTTACCATGTTTGTGCCTTTCTGATCCAGTTTGGTCCGGCCAAATGGGGTATCATCAGTAGCACGTGCAGAATGCGTCGCTATTTATAAAATATGACCCATTCAATTTTCTGAAGTGTACTCGTGTGTATACGCTGTGCACGGCGTGTTACGCAAGGTCGGGGATTGGGGAGGAATTGATCCCATTTAACCGACTGTCTGTAAACTTAACGTATAAACTCTAGCCCTCCACAAAGGCTCTGATTAAATTGTACATATTGCTAAAATTTAGGTTTGTTTTTGGACTCGTCGTCCTGCGGGTTTGTATTCCAATCCTCCTAATCTTTTACTGTACCGTTATCAGATCAAAAATGTGAATTTAGAAGTTAATATATTATTTTTACAAAGTTTTATTTCAAACCTCTTAAGAATTTTCTGGATAGTTAGCTCGTTGACGATCCGAATTAAGTAATGCCGTAACAATTTTCTGTCCATTTTGTAACTTAACTGTTCATCTGAATATTCACATTTTTACGCTTCGAAGTTGCGTCAATTATACAGCTAATGTATTGCTATTTACGTTGCGACTATCTTATTAACTGCCTCAACGTGTTCTCTATTTCTAAGTAGTTACTAATCACTCCGTCGTAAATTTTACACATAGTGCTCGATTTTAGCTTCGGAACATTACGCTCTTCCTAATTTTGTTCATGTACTTTTCCATTCAATTATATATATGTCTATATTCTTTGAATATTGCATACATTACAGTTCAAGCCTCTTTCATAGGTTGCAGTTTATAACATCGCATTCACGTTGCGTTCAAGTTGCCACACTCGTGCCGTGAACGCTGCGCTCGTTGCCAGGCGGCGACTGAGTGTCTCAGTTCAACAAACTTACATCACCTCTGCACGGGAATAGTCGTGACGTTCTATGTGGCTTGTCTGATTCCCAAACCTTGTTGATTGTGGTCTCGCCTCATTCCCGATCTATGTGAAAGCAATGAAAAATACTCGAGGTGATCTTAGTAGGCGAGTACTTACATATATTTAATGCAGAGGAGTACAAAGATACAACGGCTTTTGAAGTAGGTACTTGAGTTGTTTTACATCGCGGTTTGCCGGTTTAAAGTTTGTTGGTTTATGCTGCTAATGTTTTGACAAAGTAGAGCTGTTGCTAATTGCTATTTTCGGTTAGTTTAAGCTCTTTTGTGTATTTAAAATTGTTTCGTATATTATGTTGAATGTTGATTAAAAAAACGATTTATATAAAGTTACCTTGTTAAACAAGTGTCGAAGGTCCATCATCGGTAAGGTTACGGTTCTTACGCACGCGTGCTCTCTTCTATGCATATTCAATCCGTTACCGTTACACCCGGAAATTTCAGTCACATTGATTCATTATTTCTGTCACGCTCTTTATGTTCATTTATCACTAAGTTTGTATGCTGGCTGCACCTGCTCTGAGTATAAGCAGTGATGACGATGCTCTCCTTACTCAGCTACTCTTGCTCTCTCTGTCCACTTATTTTGCGGTTACTATTTTGTAAGCGCCAGGACTGCCAACTGTACCGCTGCGCGCAGTTCTAGTCCATGCGTGTGGAGTGCACTTCAGCTGCTCTACAGACGCGGCAAATTATACAAGTTCCTTTGTAGTTATAATTATTATATATATTATGGAGCTAATTATAATTATCTCCATAATATATTATTCTATTATATATCTATTACGTACTCGTGTGTTAATTTTTAGAATCAATGAGAAAGTAAGATTTTTATGCCTGCAAACTATTAAAGATGTACATTGTACAAGATGTACAAATAGCTGAATGAGCATGAAAAAATTCAGATTGATATTTCATTTACGAGCGTAGTTATAACGACTATACGTAGTGATAGATTCTCATAGGGATCCAGCCAAGCCTGCCTGAGGGCTCGCGGTTCTCAATCGCGACCATAATGTCATGGATAATAATTTAAAACGTCAGCTTCTGGATCCTCCGTCGCCCAGCTAATTTAATATCCATGTTAAACATTGAAATAATATATATTTCTTGCAATTGACTCGATTTATTCATTCTGCCATCATTACTTTGAAGTGTATCATTGAAATGCGTTTTCTCGATCAATGAATTGTCTTCTCGTTCGATAAATTGTCATATCAATCGATTAATCTTATTCTCGTCTGATGAATGATTTTCTCGATAGATGAATGATTTTCTCGATAGATGAATGATTTTCTCGATAGATGAATGATTTTTTCGATTGATGAATTGTCTTCTGGATCGATGAATTGTGAACCTCGATCATTTTATGAATTTATAACCATTTTCAACAGCTTGAATGCCTGCGGCTGTTGATGCAAGCGGGCACGATGTTCAACAGCAGCAGAGAATCATCGGGTCTACCATCCTTGTCTTGTCCGCTGCTCTCGGTCACGTCAAAGTGGAAGCAAACTTTACTGCACGTTGCGGCGTTCGCGGACCGTCCGCGTTGTGTGCAATGGCTTATTGCAAGAGGCTTGCCGGTCAATGCTAAGGTTTGTAACGAAGCGCATTATTAGTTACGCATTTCACCTTTTATTTAAATTTTTATTTTCATTTAAATTTATTTTTCTCTTTCCTACGAATGGTCTAATTATATTCTATTTATTCTTATATGTGATTGCTTTACTTTGGACGTTTCTTCAGTACGGAATATCCGACACCATCAGTTTATTGAGATATCGACCTACATTAGAATAAACTAATTAGACACAGGTTTTATTCTTCCATATTGGTCAATGATATTAACCGTACATACCGTACTTCATGATAACGTTGTCTTCATTACTTGGTATGATCAAATGATGTTTACCGGCAGGACTATAACGGCGAGACAGCGCTACACAAGGCTTGATTTTTAGAATAAATTAATAAGACACAGGTTATATTCCTCCCTATTGTTCAATGATATTAACCGTACATACTCCATAATAACGTTGTCTGCATTACTTGGTATGATCAAATGATGTTTACCGGCAGGACTATAACGGCGAGACAGCGCTACACAAGTCTTGATTTTTAGACTAAATTAATAAGACACAGGTTATATTCCTTCCTATTGGTCGATGATATTACATACTTCTTGATAACGTTGTCTGTATTGTTATTACGGTATCAAATGATGTTTACCGGCAGGACTATAACGGCGAGACTGCGCTACACAAGGCTTGCCGTACGGGATCCTGGGAGTGCATTCACCTGCTTGTGTCCTGCAACGCTGATGCGAGGTCAGCCTCTCTCACCTGCTCCTAATATAGTTGAATGTTAATTGCCACAATGTCTCTCAATGTCTGTTATTGAATGGGGGAAAAATGAATGGGTCATGTTGTCCAAATAAGGAATACTTTCTTTCCCTCAGCATGAGCTGATAGTGAAAGCTGCTCTGATACATGCTTTTGCCAGGCCAAACTGGGTCATGATGACCCACACAAGATCAAAAAGTACCCACATTGTTATTTGGACAAAGTATCACTAATTTCTCTAAGTGTGGGATTTGACTACCATTCATTAGCCTTTTCGCTTGCACCAAATTTCTGCAATACGCCCATGATTTCCATTGATAGGACTGATGATGAAGGGAAGTTAATATACGATTCTTAGTAATTTGTAGGGTTTTCAGTTTTGATCCATTAGTCGTGGTCTGAAAAAAATGGGTATTGATTGTAGGTACCAATATATGAGATTCTTGATCTAAAGTTCATATAGACGTCATTTTTCAAGCAAGTCTTTCACTTGTGCTTATACTCAGTAAAGTGTTCGAATATTTAAAAATGTATCATTGCACCAAGCCTTAAATTTCCTCACACCGGTCAGAATCCGTTCAATATTTGACGTGCACAGGCTAAGCCGTATATATTTTCTTAAAGCTGTGATTTAAGTGGACCTAATCAATAATTTTAAAGCTGAGCCATATAGGTATTTATCCTTAAAGCTGTAATTCAAGTGGGCTAAATTTAGAATATTACAGCTAAGCCGTGTGTAGTTTTAACCCGATTTTTAGCGCATTTTCTCATTTATGAAAAAATTACACTATTGTGCTCGCCATGTCCGTCCGTCAGTCCGTCCGTCCGTCCGTGACTTCACTGGCATGTTGAATTGAATGGGGCTCAATGTCTGTTATTGAATGGGGCATGTTGAATTGAATGTCTCTCAATGTCTGTTATTGAATGGGGCATGTTGAATTGAATGGGACTCAATGTCTGATATTGAATGGGGCATGTTGAATTGAATGGGGCTCAATGTCTGTTATTGAATGGGGCAAAATGAATGGGTCATGTTGCCCAAATAAGGAATACTTTCTTTCTCTCAGCATGAGCTGAGAGTAAAAGCAGCACTTATGCATGCTTTTTCCGGGCCAAACTGGGTCTTGATGATCCACACAAATGCTAAAGGTACATTGTTATTTGGACGAAGTATCGCTAATTTTTGTGAGTGTGGGATTTGACTCCCATTCATTGGCGTGCACCAAATTTCTGCAATACGCCCAAGATTTCCATTATTTAGGCTGATGATAAAAGAAATTTAATTAATGATTCTTAGTAATTTGTACGATTTTTAATTATAGGCCATCAGTCGCGGTTGAAAAAATGAGTTTTTATTGTTCTAATATGCGTTTCTTGATCTATAGTTGTTATAGATGATGTTTTTCAAGCAAGGCTTTCACTTGTGCTTGTACTCAGTGCAGTGTTTGAATATTTAAAAATATAACTCAGTACTCACTGCAGTGAGTGACAGAGAGCGCATTTTCTCGTCGACGAAAACTTGAAGTCACGGACGGACGGACAGACAGACAGACGGATATGGCGAGCACAATAGTGCATTTTTTCCATGAATGAGAAAATGCGCTAAAAATGCATCATTGCACGAAGCTGTAAATTTCCTCGCACCGGTCAGAATCCCTTTAATATTTGGCCTGCACATGCTGAGCCGTGTATATTTTCTTAAAGCTGTTATTTAAATGGGCTAAATAAATTTTAAAGTTTAAGCCGTTTGTTTTTTTAAAGCTATGATTTAAGGCGACTAAATAAAGAATTTTAAAGCAAAGCCATCTATATTTTCTTAGAGCTGTGATTCAAGTGGGCTGAATTAAGAATCTTGAAAAAAGCCGTGTGTATTTTAACTCAAATTTTTATTTCAGTATCCGCAACCACGCGGGGCTGAATTCAGCAGACATCGCGGCATCGTGTGGACACCAGGACGTGTGTGAGAGGCTGCGCCAGCTCGTCGGGGGTGGGTGCCTCCTCTGCTTATTCTGCTTTATCCACAAATTCTATATTTATTTAAATATAATCCTGCTTTGATTAATTGTTTCAGATGCTATTTATTCTCACTTCTTATTATAACACACGTATTTCAGTGAAATATATATTTCATCATCCCACGACCATATACCTGCAAATATTCTTTGTTGTCCTCATTTCTTATTGTAAATAATGTATTCAAGATCCATGTAAATCTAATCTGGCTACGAGCACGATTGTCCATAACTTTCGCATTCAAGCTTGAGTTATATGTAATCGTAATAAAAGTAGTATATGCTTACGATTGTTTATACACGTCTTCACTTTTAGCAGTCACTATCACATGGTTGTATTTATTCCACTACAAGTGCTTAATGATGCTTTTTGGACTCAATTCTGAGTTTAATCAGTAGGTAGTCTTAATCTTGATTTCAATCGTGCTGTTATTACTCTTATTTATTATTTGTTTCGCTCTGTATTGCGTTGGTCGTTATGCCTCAACCGAAAACTAAACTGCATTACGATTAGATGAAAATTTCAGATTATTAACGCGATTTATTTTGCAGAGTCGACCCCGGCTGCAACAAATGGTCTCAAACATCTTGTATCCAGCAACGGTTACTACGGCTTCAGTGCCAACAACAACACCACGGCAGCTGGTGACGATGATGAAATGGAGACGGAAAGCGACACATCGTCGCCTTCATCGTCTACCGTTCAACGTCCCGTTACTGACGTGCTGGTGAACGATGCTGTGTCCCAGAACCTCGTCCCTGTTGCGGGACGCAAGCGGTCCCGAGAAGAGGACGAAAGTTCTCAAGCCAAGCGTGGCCGATTTCAAGGTCAGTAAAGGGAATAGTGGTTTCGTGACAGATTTCAAGGTCAGTAAAGGTAATGATGGTTTCGTGACAGATTTCAAGGTCAGTAAAGGGAATAATGGTTTCGTGGCAGATTTCAAGGTCAGTAAAGGGAATAATGGTTTTGTGACAGATTTCAAGGTCAGTAAAGGGAATAATGGTTTCGTGACAGATTTCAAGGTCAGTAAAGGGACTAATGGTTTCGTGACAGATTTCAAAGTCAGTAAAGGGAATAATAGTTTCGTGATAGATTTCAAGGTCAGTAAAGGGAATAATGGTTTCGTGAAAGATTTCAAGGTCAGTAAAGGGAATGATGGTTTCGTGACAGATTTCAAGGTCAGTAAAGGGAATAGTGGTTTCGTGACAGATTTCAAGGTCAGTAAATGGAATAATAGTTTCGTGACAGATTTCAAGGTCAGCAAAGGGAATAATAGTTTCGTGATAGATTTCAAGGTCAGTAAAGGGAATGATGGTTTCGTGACAGATTTCAAGGTCAGTAAAGGGAATGATGGTTTCGTGACAGATTTCACGGTCAGTAAAGGGAATAATGGTTTCGTGATAGATTTCAAGGTCAGTAAAGGGAATAATGGTTTCGTGACAGATTTCAAGGTCAGTAAAAGGCGTTATAATTTCGTGAAAGATTTCAAGGTCAGTAAAGGGAATCATGGTTTCGTGACAGATTTCAAGGTCAGTAAAGGGAATAATGGTTTCGTGACAGATTTCAAGGTCAGTAAAGGGAATAATGGTTTTTAGTACGCGAACATGTTCTCTCTAACCCCTTCATCTCTGTTAAGAGTGTTACATTGATATTTGTGTGTTTGATTGATAATTGGCTCGGTGGCAACACAACAAAGAGATTTTGAAATGTTGGTTAAAATCAATCTCTTTTGATTGAAGACCATAAAGGTCTTTTATCTTTTCTAATTAATTGAAGACCATAAAGGAATTTTTCAGACATTTTGTTGTTATATATTTTTTAAGCGTTATGAATTCTTGCCGAAATGAATTTTTTTAATGGATTATTATCAGTCTTAACTCGTTTCCTTGAAGTATTTTAATTAATTTTCAAAGTTTAATCTAACTCTTTCAAATCCTGTGTTTTATTATGTGTTTATGGTGTTTGATCAAGCATGGCCTAGCAGTTTTTCACCGATCTCATTAAAGACTAAGTTGTGTGCGTCGCATTAAACCTCATTTTGTATTCTTATTTGAAAGCGCTTATTTTTTATGAAAAATTTCAATACTGTTAATTTTTTTATGCAGCTAGAAAATTTGTTAAAGATATCGATTAGTTTCTCGGTTGCTCTTCGCATGGAATGTTTTTTATCAATTACTAAGTTAGTATGTATATAATATAGTTTTCAACACTTCTATGTGTGCGATTTTCGTCTTTCTTAATTATGCATAGTTATTATTATTAATTATTAATTAAATTATTAATTAATATTATTAATTAATTAATTTATTATAGCTGGTAACGAAGAAAATTTTTGTTGTGTTCTCTCAATGCATTTGAATCAACTCATTAGTGTTGAAATCTCCATTTGACGATTTTTTTATTTTTAATTAACTAATCTGTATGATAAAGAAATTTTTGTACACCATTAAAATGATTTATACTAATTCCTAAAGATTTTACTAGTCATGGTCATTGCAGAATTTGTTTTGAAATTAGTTCGATAAATCTTGCATGTGAATTTGCACGCCACTCGCGGCCTCCTGTCTATCCGTATGGTCAATATTTCTAAGACTGTTTCGTCGTTTGCATCACTCTATTTGTCGTATATTAAGGAAGTATCTAAATTATTAATTCTTATTTACATTCGTGTATTAGATATCATGATATTGTTATTGACAATTATCATGAAATTTTAATTACATAAAATTTCAGTTAATTCTCCGTGCGTCATTCTTTATAAAACGACATCTCTTCGGTATAGTTCGACAATAATTACTCCCTATTCTTGTTTTGGAATCAATTTTTTTCACGCTGAAGATTCACAATTATGTGGGTTTATATAAGCAATTCTTGTGAAGGAAATAAAAGTTCTTTCTTGAGTCTCTTCATGTGGTTGGTCGGTCGTACGACGTTGTTATGAAGTTCCATCGTTTCTCGTCACTCGTTTTTTGTCACCGTAAAAGCGTTGCTTAATTTCAACTTTGCTTGGCGTGAAATGTTTTCTAAAATTAATGTTCGAATCGCTGATTGAAGTTTGCTTAGCATGCACGCGAGTTTCATTTAGTTCTTGTTTAAAAATACGGGCAAATAAACAACTTTTTCCTCCTTTACCACTGTTGACATTAATTTTTTTTACAGTTTCATTCACTGATGTAAGTTATGTGTGCCCTGAATTTGTATTATTGCTTTTGAGAACATAATTCGAATAGAATTTTAGTTTTCTCGCGATTATCGTTGGTGTCGGGTGGAGGTACACCTCACTTCTCGTGCAGATGATTGCTTGACGAGTGCGGGTTCCTCGCTTGCTGCTTCTTCTTCTTCGTCGTCGTCGTCACCTGCCGTCCCCTCATGGTCGCGGCCGCAGGGCTCCTTTGACTGTTACTTTTGGGCGGCCTCGTCAGAACATGATTCAATTTCCAATGCTATTCCTACGATATGTGCATCGGCTTCTTCATCGTCTCATCTCCGCTCTTCGGACTGGGATAGTAGTAGCTCATCTGGTCTGAATGATCAGAATATTTTAATGCTGAACAAAACTTCACTTGAGACAAGTTCTTTGAACGACTGTCCTATTGCGAGAAGGGACACTGATACTGAATTCGATTCTTTTGTCCTCGTAGACGACTCGATGATGACAATTGACGCTCATGATACCAGTTTTGAGTCGCGATTGATGTCTGTTGATCCGTCAAAATGTTTTCTCAGCTCACCAGGATTCGAAGCATTCACTGCAGACAAAGAAAAATATCCTAGTGGAACTTCGAACTCTGCCGTCATCTCAGTCTCTCTTGCTCACGACCTCGAGGTTTCTTCAACTGACACCTCAGTGGATTTTACTGCTGCTGAAAATACACTAAATGACCACACTTGCTCTCGTACGGTCGAGTTGGCTAAAAACAACGCGTGTCTGCAACGTAGGAATCAGCAGTTTATATGGATGGTTTGAATTTTTTGAATCGTTTACAGGATTATTAGACACTTGATGGTCTGCTGTTGTTTTTTTTTTTGCATGAAAATACTAAGTAACGTTGTTAACAATCAGAAGTAATTGGTAATTGTCGATTCTAATGCGCTGAATTTATCTGCGTGAAAAAATGAATGCGGGAGTTTAATACTTGAAAAAAAAAAACATTGTACAGTTATTGGCCGAGCAATCGTGTTTATTATAAAGTATATAATTCAAAACCATTCCTACGACCAAATAAATTATGAATAATATTTAGACTTTTTGCAAATTCTTCACTGGGTCCTCGTGTTGAAATGAGGAAAATATTTAAGCAAATTGTTAATTGGATGTTGTTATACATTGTTAGTTCTATTATTTATCATAAATATTTAATATCATTCGACAATGGTGCCTTTTCAATAAATTAATATTTCATATTCTTTATTTATAGCTATAATAATACACGAGTTATGTAGTCTGTCTTATTCTTATGGGATTAAGTTAGAGTAAGTCCAATTCACTAAGCATTCACTTTTTTGTACAACACGTTATTAAAATAGTGTTTGCACTATTTCAGTTCTTCGGTATACATTGGTCCGCAATTCCGTTTCGATAGTCTTGCTTTTGAATAGTAATGTTGATACGAGCTAAGGGCGACTAATTTTCCTATTTAAGTTTTTGTTGATGTGAGTTGATATCTCGACGCGGTGCTAGTATGCAATCGACGCAGACAATTGATAGGGGGTGTATTTTGACCTGCAACTTTACCATTCAAAATGTCAGGATGTGCGCTTTTTCGTAGCACAGTTCTTTACCGTTCTATCTGACGGGAAAGAACTGTGACGTTCTTTACCGTTTTATCTGTTTCAGTTGGGGATTAAGTTCTTACGTAGACAGGTCAGTTGTGGAGTTATGTTGTGTTATGTTTTTTTGTGGGGTTTTAGAATTCTTTACACTCTCGTCCTTGCGGTCGAATCCTCGTGTAAGCGAGTGTATTGGATACTCTTCGTGTAAGTCCTATTCGTCGCATTTAGATGTTGATGCGCTGTGTCTTCTTTCTTGAGATCTCGTCATTTGATTCCTTCTGCTCTGAATAATTATATTTTTTATTATTTATGGAAGAGAATGCAGTGTGATCTTTACTTTACTTCTGTTATGTGTTATGTAGTCTGTTCATGGAGCCCTGAACTTACTTAAACTGAATGAAATGTAAATTTATAGAACACAGTTAATTGTTTTAGAGGCTGAAGCTTGAATTTCTTTTCATTTGTATTCTTTATCCCTAGTTTAGTTTGTGCCCTTGCTATGTTTTGCTCTAGACGATATTGGCTTTCTTCGAGTAGATATATTATATGTCTCTGCAGTACGGGAAAATTTTCGTTGCCTGCACCCTCACTGTTATCAGTTTTTCTTCGTTGCTCATTCTTGTTTGTGACTTGAACTTGTAAAAAATTATTTATGAATTCCGGCAGCGGAGTTCCTGAAGAATTTCTTGTTTGCAGATGATGCAAGTTCGTCTCATACCGGCACGAACCACCAAATCTTGACCAGCCGTGAAGACAACGTTGCCAGCTCCCAGGACTCTAAGCCATTAAATTTTATCCACGACGCGAACGCCGAACCTCGCGTGGTTGCCGATAGGATGGATAATCTGGGACCGAACTTCTTACATTATCAACGGCGGAAAGATCGCTTCTCTAGTAACAGTACTGACTCCATAGACTCGGGATTTTCTGGGTCTAGCGGAGACCAAAATATTGGTTCACGGTGTCTAGATTCCATCGACGAGAAACCGTTACCTGTCGTAAATGGACTCGCTCTCAACTGTGTAAATGAAGGTACCTTCGGTAACGTCTCTAGCGGAAATATGTCTGTTGGAGTTGTCCGATCTGCAAATGGTGGCTCTTTTGATCCTGGAGTGTCGACATCTTCAAGAAATTTCGACCTGCCATCAAATGCTATGCGAGTAGATTATAAAAATGATCGTTTATCCTGTACTAGCGGATACCCGGGGTGTCCTATACCTGCCCCTGCTGATCTCTTGGCCCACGATGCGGACGTAACCGCTGCTCCTTTTGTACTCAGCCGCAAGCTATTCGGTGGACACATGTTCTGAATTAAATTTTGTTATGGTCATTCATGCAGTTAACTTGAACCAGATGCAACAGTTAACTTGAACCATATGTTATGTAGCAGTTAACTTGAACCATATCTTATGTAGCAGTTAACTTGAACCATATGTTATGTAGCAGTTAACTTGAACCATATGTTGTGTAGCAGTTAACTTGAACCATATGTATCAGGGTGAATGTTGTTTATAGTTTGTGTCATGGTCTGAAGGGCCGAAACAACAACCGATAAAATCTACCTCTTTTAAGTTCACCAGAACTTTCTGCTGGTTATGGGGAGTGAAATTTTCTTTGGTCATGGATTTAGAATAAATTCTTGATGCACATTTGATTGGCAATGAATGTCATTTTTTCAATGTGCTAGTTATTTTAAAGTATCAATCGATTTTTTTCACGTTGCCTTTTGATATGATTAAATACTGACGATAAAAAAATTCTGTCCTACAAAATATGGTGGATTTTCTTGATATTTCTTTTACGGTGTTTCGATGTATACTATGAAATGAACATATTACATGGCGTGTAACTTTTCTAACCTTTCATTAGGTCCTAACGCCGTGCTTTATACTAATTTGACTGAAGATAGTTTTTCTTATAGACGCATATTCCGGTGTGCCAAATTGATATGTTGCATCTTCATATTCTTCTTGTTTTTGGTTCATAATTTCGCTTATTAAACAAAATGTGGTGAAATGTGAACGTTGATTCTACTCCAGCGTTGATTTTCCAGAGATTTTCCAGCGTTGTTAATTATACCTGAAATGAATTATATGTACCGTTGAAATATAAGATAATATTAAATATTCCTGCGGATAGTGTGTAAAAGTTGGTGCTGCTTGCTGATTGTAAATCATTTACGTACGTGCATACTTATTGATAACTGGTAATTTTAATGACACGGCATCCATTGGGGCCGAGTTGAAGTTCCTGTGATTGCACTACTTTCTTATTCGTGGCGTGCCTTGTAAGATCTGCTTTCAATTATTGATCTTTTTCACTACGTAGAATTAATTTATATTAAGATTATCGAACACCTAATGCTATTTTTTGACCGATCTCAGAGCGCCAAGCCTCATGTTGCTGCATATGATTGTCTTTGTTCAAAATCTGCTAGCTTCATAATACATCGAATCGTCCAATTTGATTGTACTTCCATTTCTTACGACACTCCTCGTCCTTCCCCTCCACAGTTGAGCCAGATCATCCCCCACCTGCCGCTAGTTCATCTCCCCGAAAACCGCTTTACAACATCACAAACGGACGAGCATCAAGACTCGAAACTTACGACGATAACAGTAACAACTCGTCAGGAATACGACTTTTCCACAGCACAGCAACTTTCCCAAGTTACATTTCAGCAAGACCTGGCAAGACTGTGCGTTTTCAGTTGGCTGAAGATGGCCGAATGAAAACCATGCAAAATGCGGCAGTCGGTCACGCGGACCAGGCAACGTTGGTTCATAAAGATCAAAGCAGTGAAGTGATGAACCCGTTCATGATGGATCGGCAAGAGTCGTGGCGTGTAATTACTAATTCTAAAGCCGCTGATATGTGCGCTAGTTGCGAAAAAATGGATGACTACGAATGCATCAATCCAGGCGTCCATGAAAATATTTTGAAAGATTGCGACAAACGAGACATCGACGCTGATATGGAATCTTTGAGTCACCCTTCAGGATCAAGTTATATTCAGGGACAACTTTCCGTGTCATCAGGCTTCACGTTGGACAGGCCAACGGGACTTCGGGAAGTCGCTGAGAATTTGCTAATGGAAACCCATGGATGTCAATGGCAAATTGAAGAGCGTTTCTCGAAATTTCATTGATCTCGTTTTGCAGATGACTTATAAGTTGGCTTGAGTGTTGAAGCTACCTGGTTTACTTTCGTTTCACTCTTTCTGTTAAATATTTTGTCGTTCAGTTAAGCGATGTTGATTGCCAACACCCGTATTTGTGTATCGTACATTGAGGTTTTTGCTTCTAATTATATTTGTGCTATGACACATAAATGCAATGTGGATATTAAGGAGTGTTAAGCATTAAGTGTCTGAATATCTTTATCGGCTGATATACAACAAGTTGATCTGAAAACGAACAAATGTGCGTTTAACTCGTTTTTTCTCACTTGTTTAGTGTCATATTCACATTGAAACTGTCACTGGTTCACTTCAGGTCGTTAATCTCTCACTTCTATTTGCATTTTATAGCCGAGATAAGAATCTTGTTATTTTCTAAGAATTTGTTCTCTTAACGAAAGATGTTTTCAATAAATTATATCTGTGATTTAAATTAATAACTGGTAGGTTTTCTGAAAAATATGCCAATAATCTTTGCTCATTGGTTTTTTGCTTACATATTTTATAACAAACCTGGACAAGCTTCCACGAATTCCGATTTTCCCATTGCATTTTTCAGGTTTCTCAATGACTTGGTCCGAAACCTAACATATATGACTGGAGTTGTTTCTACGTTGTTTCCTGTTTTTTTTTTTTCAATAACGGATAGATATAGTTATTATTTTAGCGCGAGTTGTTTGCAGTTATTGCTGTGCCGTCACGAATCCCTTTAATTCAAAGTGATAAGTGATCATCTCGAGTATAGTTGATATCAGCATAACATTTCAATTTATGCTTTGTGGAACGTTTTGGACGGATTTAATTTGATTTAATGAATCAAATATCTCTTGATTGTGCAAAACTTGACCGTGCAGTGTACCTTATATACTTTATTTTTTTTTTATCCTAATATCGTCGTCGATATTTTTCGTATTCAAGGGCCTGATAACGATTCACCGTAGGCTGATAGGCTCATGGTTATTGTCTACTTAAATCACGAGAAGAATTCTGACTGTTTGGCTGCTGGAACTGGAATTTCTGGAACTGGAACTGGATCATTTCTGGAACTGGAACTGGAATTTTGCGCATCATACATTCTTTCGAAAATGTACGCTCATTGATGTTTATTTTTTCCGCCCTGGAAATGGGTTTTTGAAATTGTCAAATTCCAATTTTTGCATTAGAAACGGAATGCGTTAAACGCTTCATGAATCGTAATATTTTTTCTGATGATCCATTTAGAAATTGTGAACTAAAATTCGCCGTTATCTTGGTCATTTTTGATGTATGTTTAGTAATGTTTAGAACCGTAATTGATTTGCGAGGTACAATTATGTTGTTCGTGCTTCGAATAATACACAAGGTAACTAACAGGGTGTAATAGGACAGCGGATGTTGTGGATCTATTAATCGGACATGGCATTCATGTACATTTATATTGTTGTTTGTTAATAATATTAAAGTAACTTCTTCTTGGGTTTTCTTTCCTCTCCGCGTTGAATATTATTATGAATATTAATATTATAATGAATATTGTATATCAATGAATTATGATGATGAATATCAATAATATTATAACGAATATTGAGAAATATTCATCTCATGAAAAGCGTCCCAGATTCAGCTCTAACATAGCTCTTTAATTATAAAGGTTCCAAGAATTCCGCGTTTTAAATTCGAGTAAAAATTTAATGAAACAATCGCGAGAGATTGTTTCATTAAATCGCAATCCGACCTTGATTAAAAGTCGTATGTTCAACATTAAGTTTAATTATCGTGTTCGTGAGAAATTATGCTACTTAATTGTCAGACCAAAGTGCTTTAATTTCTGGCAACTTAAGAACTACGATCTACGTAACTCTCGACTTTTTTTTACTAAACTTAATAATCTCGACCCTGGCACGAAAAATGAACACTGAAGCCTATACACTACAGCATCAAGACTAATGTGTTCAAAGTTTTTTTTTTTTGCTTCCATTCGTTATGATGAAGTTTTCTAAAGCGATACAATCATTGCTGATTAAGTAATTTTTTAAATCGATTACTTAAGGTTTATATCAGAAGACGTCAAAATCCCATGTTGAGCAGAAACAAAAGCTATGGGCAACATTTAAGTCCAAGCAATGTATAGGTAATTCGTAACCTGGAAAATTACATGTAGGTGTTTGGCTATCAATATTTACGCATTTCTGACAAGTGTAATTTACTCAGTATCTTATGAAGCTGAACAAATGCGTTCAATAAAACTGATAATTATTACAGCAATCGCGCAATTTATAACCTCTGATACTGTGAAGAAAAGATGGCCACGTGCTACAGCGCCGGGCGATATTGATTTCATACCAAGACTGAAGGCGGAAGTGAAGCTATCGATGAAAACACGTTTTGCTTGGGTGCTCGAATTGTCAGTAGTATAACATTATGTTATAACTCGTTATATTTGTATTATATTATAACTCATTGTTATGTCATGTCATGACATTATGTTATAATTATAATACACTTTATAACTCGAATTATTCAATTGAATCTCGGCAAATGCTTGACCTAAGTTGAGCAAAACTTTACAACCGATTTATCATTTTTCTTAAATTATGTAAGAATAACGACCGAACTTTTATTCCATAAAATTCTTGAACTAATAGTGAAGCTAGTCTTCAAAACGTTCCGATGAAGACATTGCGAATTTGCTTGACATTTTGTTTGCTATTAATATTATAGGCAAGCAACGTCAATAAAGCATGAGTTATTGAACTTGAAAGCATGTTTTTGCAGTCCTAAACCTCTTTGTTGCCGGTCACTTAAATTGAGACCTACCGCCCCTTGTGGGTGATGAATAATTTAAGGAATTTTCAATAATTGAAACCTTCCGCCTTGGTAACGATACTAATGTTTGACCTCCGGTACGAAATATTTTGATTACCGAGGCAGTGAGGCGGTAGCCAACGATCCTACACTTCTACTACTACTACTACTATTACTACTACTACTACTACTACTACTACTACTACAACTATACTACTAATGCTACTACCACTACTAATACTACGACTGCTACTACTAATGCTAATAATACTACTACTACTACTACTTCTACTACTACTACTACTACTACTTTGTTTTGTTCACAGAACCTTCTATTCGGTACGGCTCAATGGGAGACATACTTTTCTACGCTCCTCGCCCCGAGCCAAGAGCGTCCGCGGCGACAGCTCAGCCGTCGTCCTCTCCTTCGCGTCGCTTCAGCGGCCAGAACGGCTTCTTGTCCAGCAGCGCGGACGCCATCATTTCTGTTTTGCACGGCAGTTAGAAAAATTTTCTGTTATTATTGTAATGTCAATGCAGTTTTTCGTTCATACTGCACGGCAGTTAGGAAAATGTTCTATTATTATTGTAATGTCAATGCAGATTTTCCCTCAGGCCTGAACGGCTTCTTGTCCAGCAGCGCGGACGCCATCATTTCTGTTTTGCACGGCAGTTAAAAAATTGTTCTGTTATTATTGTAACGTCAATGCAGATTTTCGCTCAGGCCAGAACGGCTTCTTGTCCAGCAGCGCGGATGCCATCATTTCTGTTTTGCACGGCAGTTAGAAAAATGTTCTGTTATTACTGTAACGTCAATTCAGTTTTTCGTTCATACTTCACGGCAGTTAGAAAATTGTTCTGTTATTATTGGAACGTCAATGCAGTTTTTCGTTCA